TGTGTGTATGTGTGTCATGGAGTGCGGAGGGGGAAAGCAGAGGAGGGGGCAGGAAAGGTGAACACGCCTGCTGTGCTCACATGCCATGCCTGTGCCTTGCGTTTGATGATATCGTTGTGTCTTGTCGTTGTATGTGTTGGTTACATGGGCACCAGGGCCACATCAGAGGAGGGGAAAGCAGCCGCCATGAACGACCCATCATCATCATCATCATCAACCTTCCCCATTTCTCTCCCCTTTCTTTCTCTTCCACCTCAGCTCCGCTGTCACCATCATCACCATCATCGCCATCGACCGCACAGCCGCCATCACACTCCGGCCGACGCCAGCCCCAATCTGGCGTGATGCAGACATTGCACATGTCATTCGTTCTGACGAAGAGGTTAGCAATGTGTATGTGCTTGGTGGTGGTGAGTGGGGACAACATGTGTGCGTGTGAATGTGTATCAGTGCGGGTGGTTGGATGGGGCTGGCGTGCGCTTGATGATGTTTCGCTGTCAAGCTCATCCCCTGCATTCTCTCCCATTTTGTGTCTGTGCACACACGTTTAACAGCGTTGAGGAGGGGCGTGTCTGTGTGTGTGTGTATGTGTGTGTTTGTGTGTGCATGGTTCATGCCAACGCCACCTGCACCATGGCGTCTTCCTGGCCCACCGTGCTCCAGATGGTGTGCGGCACACTGCTGTTTGCTCAAGGCGCCCCCTCGACATGTGCAAGACTTATCGCATCAGCTCAGGCACGCAGCTGGTGTTCAGCAAAGAGGGCGGGCGGGGTCTGCCTCGACTACTCCCGGACCCAAGCATGCAGGCCAAGACATTGCCGTGCCGGACCCCCGGCAGCCTTCATCCAGACCGCACGAAGCACGGCAGCCCAGAACAGACACCATTGTGCTCGAAAACGCCACCACAACCACAAACGTGCACGACCTCACCACATTCACGTGCAGGGACGTCAACGCGACCCTTTTGTTGGCCTCCGTGACCCGTTGCTGTTGTTCTTCTCCTTGTTGGTGGCCTGCTTCTTTTCCTCCAGCTTATCCACATTCGCCCCGTGTCGGTGCGCGGGGTCCGGCCTTGCTCCTTCCACCAGCACCACCCCTGCCCTTCTCCTCCTCCTCCTGCTCCACCAGCACCTTCTTCTTCTCCACCTCCTTCTTCTTCTCCTCCTCCTCCTTCTTCACCTTCTCCCCCATTGTCATTCCTTTCACCTCTGCCCTACTCTTCTCGTCTATTGCATCTGCCTTGCCCCTGGGGCGCCCTTTCCTTCTGCTTCTTCCTCCTTGGCCTGTTCCTCCTCCCCTATTGGTTCTCCCTGCCGCGCCCTCAGCAGAGCCATGGGCGCTTGGTCAATAAACGGGAACGTCCTGAGAAACACCTCCCATGTGCACGGCGGCAGTGGCCATCTCCCACCCCCACCATAGCTGGTTGCTTGGCGACCCATCGACTTTGTATGTGCACGCCGCCGATGCCCTGCCAACGTGCGGCGGGTATGCCACGGCTCGGGCTGTGCCAGCAGTCTGCTGGTTTGTTTGTTGTTTTGTTTGTTGTGTGAGGTGTTTGGTGGTCATTTTCCTCGAACCACCTCGACCACAACAAGCAAGAAGCAAGCAAGAAGCACAAGCGAACCAAGCCAAGACTGGTTGGGCAGATACCACGCACATCCACCGACTTTTGTTGTCCTTTGATTGTCAGGACAGCGCTGCCTCTCCCTCTGGCTCAAGTCCTCAGCTCTCCTCTCAGTCCACACCACCCTTGTGTGTGACCACAGGACCACGGTGTGCGTAAGCGTACTCGCCGCCTCAGGCTGACGGTTTCTTTGCTTCTTCTGCCAACTGCCTTGAGTTGCTGTGCATGTGTGTGTGAGCGGTTGGTCCAAAACGCACAAGACACCTTCTTGGGCCCGGAAGCGCGTTCGTTGTTGCTACCACCAGCTTCTCGCACTCACTCTCAGCTGCTCTTTTGTGGTTTGCGAAGAGCTGAGCGACCAGCCTTGCGTGCTCCCCCAGCATCCCCCCCCCAACAAAAAAAAAAAAAAAAAAGCTGGGCACCCGTCTCTCCTCTGTCTGTCTGTGTGTTTCGTCTCCTTTGTTGTTCCCCACCCCCCACCCAAACAAAAAAAAAAAAAAAGGCGAAAGCCACGCCCCCTCCTCCAGTTCTTCTTTTCCTTCTCTCTCCCTCTCTTGTGCGCACTGCAACCACAACAACCAACCAACCGGTCCTTGCCACTCTTCTCTTTCTCCCCTTCCCCTCCAACCAAAGTAAACCAAAGTAAACCAACACAACCCCACTCCCCTCTTCCTCTCCCTGTTTGTCTCTCCCACGTCGACCATCTCCTCGATCGTCTCCTCTTCCTGGCACCTCGCCCCGCGCCACCAAGCCCTCAAGCCCGCCGTCCGCACCACACGGATTGCCCACTGAGCGATTGACCTCCAACCCCCCACACTCCATACACACACACACACACACACACACACACACACACACACACACACACACACACACACACACACATGGCTGACCAGCGACTGACGCACGGCGTGTCCGTGGCAGCTGTGCGGCGGTTTCTGGGTGATCTGAAGCGCGAGTTCCCCGACACGTACACTGAGATGACCACGGAGGATGCCTGCAAGCAACTGGTTGTGCCACGCACACGCCAGGACAACTGCGCCTACGTCGAGCAGCTGCGCAAGCAGTCGCCAGAACACGTGAACAAGGCCACCGTCTTTGTGTCACACGCATGGCGGTACAAGATCGCAGACGTGCTCAACGTCTTGCTGGAGTTTGCGCAGCAGCAAGCAAGGAAGGACGACGGCCAGCCCGTGTTCTTCTGGTTTGACCTCTTTATGAACAACCAAAACGCCAACGTCACGGCCAACCTCCCACAAGAATGGTGCGTTTTGTGTGTGTCTGTGTGTGTGTCTGTGTCTGTGTCTGTGTGGTGTCTGTGTGTGTGCGTGTGCGTGTGTGTGTGTGCATATGTGTGTGTGTGTGTAACTCTTGTGCCCTTCAACAACCACTGCCACACGCACACGTACACAGACACACGCACACTGTTCCCTCACAAGAACTGCAACCCCTTTCCCTTTCCTCCGCCTTCCTTTGCCCTCCACCCTTCCCTCTCCCCCTTCCCCCTTTCTCAACACCCAGGTGGAGCACCACATTCAAGCAGTCGATTGCCAACATTGGCCATGTGCTGCTGGTGCTCATGCCGTGGCGAGACCCTGTTCCCTTGACCCGTGCCTGGTGCCTGTGGGAGATCTTCTGTGGCATCAGCAACGAAGGCACAGAGGTCACCATCCAACTACCCAACAGCGAAGAACAGGCGCTCGAAAACGCCATTCGCAGCAGCTACAAAGCCGTCACAGACACGCTGGTGCGCGTGCAGGCACAAAGGGCCGACGCCTTTAACCCGCACGACAAACACATGATCTTCACAGCGATCGAGTCGTGGGCGGGCGGCTTCAGCGCAGTCAACCAAGCCGTGAAGGACCAGCTGCGCGCGTGGTGCCTGCAAAAGGCCGTAGCCGCCGTCGAAGCCATGCGAGCGCGTGGCGAGGACAGCACTGACGCCTTCGCGGGGCTGTGCCTCAACGTTGGGGCGGTGCTGAGCGACTTTGGCGAGCACGACAGGGCAATCGCCTACTTTGAGACAGCCCTGCCGATTTACCTCCGCACTGAAGGGGAGAAGGGCGAGGGCGTGGCGGCGCTGTACAACAACCTCGGCCTCGCCTACGACAACAAGGGCAAGTACGACAAGGCGATTGAGTTTTATGAGAAGGCCCTCGCCATCACGGTGGAGGCCTTGGGCGAGAAGCACCCGAGCACAGCCACGTCGTACAACAACCTCGGCAACGCCTACGCCGACAAGGGCGAGTACGACAGAGCAATTGCGTACGTTGAGAAGGCCCTCGCCATCACGGTGGAGACAGTGGGGGAGAAGCACCCGAGCACAGCGAGCACGTACGGCAACCTCGGCAACGCCTACGACAGCAAGGGCGATCACGACAAGGCCGTCCACTTCTACGAGAAGGCGCTCGCCATCAAGGTGGAGACGCTGGGCGAGAAGCACCCGAGCACGGCCGACACATACAACAATCTCGGCGGCGCCTACGACAGCAAGGGCGACTACAAGAAGGCCATCCAGTTGTACGAGAAGGCCCTCGCCATCCAGGTGGAGACGTTGGGCGAGAAGCACCCGAGCACAGCGAGCACCTACAACAACCTCGGCAACGCCTACGCCAGCAAGGGCGAGTACGACAGAGCCGTCCAGCAGTACGAGAAGGCGCTCGCCATCTACGCGGAGGCGTTGGGTGAGAAGCATCCCAGCACAGCGAGTACATACGGCAACCTCGGCGTTGCCTACCAGAACAAGGGCCACTACGACAAGGCGATTGAGCTGTATGAGAAGGCCCTCGCCATCAGGGTGGAAGCGTTGGGTGAGAAGCACCCGAGCACAGCCACGTCGTACGGCAACCTCGGCGTTGCCTATCAGAACAAAGGCGAGTACGACAAGGCCATTGAGTTTTACGAGAAGGACCTTGCCATCACGGTGGAGACGTTGGGCGAGAGGCACCCGAGCACGGCCGACACGTACAACAACCTCGGCGAAGCATACCGCCACAAGGGCAAGTACGACAAGGCCATTGAGTTTTATGAGCAGGGGCTCGCCATCAAGGTGGAGACGCTGGGCGAGAAACACCCGAGCACAGCACAGACGTACAACAACCTCGGTATCGCCTACGACCACAAGGGCGACTTGGACAAGGCGGTTGAGTTTTATGAGCAGGGGCTCGCCATCAAGGTGGAGACGTTGGGCGAGAAGCACCCGAGCACAGCGAGCACATACAACAACCTCGGCCTTGCCTTCAAGAACAAGGGCCACTACGACAAGGCGGTTGAGTTTTATGAGCAGGCGAGGGCGGTGTACGTGGAGGCGTTGGGCGAGAAGCACCCGTACACAGCGATGACGCTTGCGAACATTGGCCTGCTGCACGACAAGCGCGGCGAAAAGGAGCAGGCTTGCGCCTACACGCAGCAGGCGCTCGACGCTTTCACAACCACGCTTGGGCCAGACCACCCAAACACCCGCAAGGCGAAGGGTTATCTGCTGCGCATTTGCGGCAACGACGAGCGCGATGATGGCGGTGCACGCACGGCCGCGCGGGGCGAGGACGACGACGAGCAGCAACAAGGCGGCAGTGAGCAAGTGCAAGCTGTGGCTGGCCAACAAGACGCAGCAGACGAAGATGAGCTGCAGGAGCGTTCTCCACAACAGCCTCTGGCCGGCTGGCTGCAGAAGCGAGGGCAGTGGAACATCGCCTTTCGCACTCGCTGGTGTACCCTCGGCGACGACCACCTGACGTACAGCAAGGGTCCTTCCCTTGCAGAACGTGGGCGCATCCCCCTTTCCAGCGTGCTGTCAGCTGAGCTCGCCCATGGTGGCGAGGAGTTACACGTTGCTGTTCCTGGCCGCACCTTCGTCTTCCGCCTGGACGCGCGCTCTGACACCTCGCTCGCTGACTGGTGCACCGCCATCAACAGCCGCATCAACGTTACCACTTGACTGTGCGCTGTGCTGTGTGTGTGTGTGTGTGTGTGTGTGTTTGCGTGTGTGTGTGTGTGCTTGCTGGTTTGCTGGTTTCTCTCTTTGCTCCTTTGGTCTTGTCTTTCCTTTACATGCTTGCCACTTGCCTTGCCTTGCTTGACGTTGCTTTGTTTGTGTGACACTGTAGTAAACTCTTTACGCAATTCAACCGGCTGACAAGCAACGAGCAAACAACCTACCACACCACACGTCAACCAACCAGGTCCTCTTTCACTCCCACGTCCACGCTCACAACGCCCGCCTTGCGCAGCAGCTCCAGGATGCGGCTGGTGGAAAGTAGTTCCATCAGCACGTTCGAGTGCGGCGGCATCGGCAACAGGTCGGCTACTCAGCGTGCACGGCGCCCAGCAGCCTTGTCGGAGGGCTGGGTCGTCAACCTGTACTCGTTGTCCGTCCACGACCGTGCGGAACAGCACGTCGTCGCTGCAGGCCCACGCCAATCGAGAACGCCGGCTTGAGCGCGTGGGTGCGCCCCACTCTCGTGCTGCACCTCCTCCACCGTCTCCTCCTCGGGGTTCAGGTTGCCCGTCACCAGCGACAGGACCCACCATGCCAAAGGGCTGCAGCGACATCAGGAACGTGAAAGGTCCGCGTTCCGGCAGCGCGTTTTCGCTATCTTGTCTCCACGTCGGTCTTGCTGCGCATCATGCCCGCGAACACGGCGGCAATCCCCGACAGCAGCTTCAGCTTCGTCTCGAACGGGGGCCTGCAGCGTCTTCTCGTTGACGACCACGTGTGTCCTTGCCCACCTCGCGCGCGCGCGTACTCGGGTGAGAAGTTAGAGCACATCTCCCGCGTTTGGGGCACACCCGTTCGTCTGCGCAAACCACAATCGTGTTGACGGGGTTGTTGTGCTGGAGCGTGCGCTTGGGGGTCTCGGCGGCCTCCACACGTGCCTGCCGGGGTTGGCGAGCGACCTGAACCCAAACGGCCGTCGGCGGCGGTGGGTCGATGGTGAGTCCGCCATCCCCGTTCACGCATCCCGACAGATGTGCTTGCTCTTGATGGTTGTTGGTGCTGGGGAGTGGGGGAGGAAACGACGCCACGGTAGACGACGGGCAAATGGCTGGGCGTGGATGTGGAGGCGTAGTGGCAACGGAGCATGTCAGCTGTCCGCACTTGTCGACATAGATGAGAGGAGAGATGGTAGCCTGTTGGACATGCGAGAAGACGGGTGAGTGGTGGATGAGGAGCACGACAAGTCCACACGGGGAACTCAGGTGAACCGCAAACAAGGGTGCAAACAAGGGCGCAAACGCACGCAAACGCGCACACATGTGAGCACACACACACACACATGAACGCACGGCCGATGGAGGTGTTTGTGTCGTTGGCTCGCCCAAGCACCGCCCCAACAGGATCAACGCGAAGGTCGTATGTGTGTGCGTGTGTGTGTGCGTGCAAAGATGCATTTGTGCATGTGTTTTCTGATGAACACAGTCCATGTTGTGTCTTGGCACGTGCTTGTTTGCATATTTTCTTACTCCTTATACCCGCTCCCCGTCTGTCACCTTCACTGAGCAGGAAACATGAGCTCGGCAGCCTCTCAGGTGAGCAACACACACACACACACACACACACACACACACACACACACACACACACACACACACACACACACACACACACACACACACACACACACACACACACACACACATTCAACACACACATACACACACACATGCATACACACGTACATACACACACCCTCACTCACCCTCACTCTGCACGCACCCCACACCACCCCACCACCCCACCCCCTAGCAGAGCATCAGCACACGCGGCTCCTTCGCATGTCGTCGTCGACCGGCCGACCAAAGCGTGCAAGCACGCGCCACCACCGCCACCTCTCCCATGCTGAAACACTTGTGGAGGAGGAGGAAGAGGAGGGGCCAGTGACAGACGGTGCTGCCGTGGGCGCACGCCGACCAGCACCACACCGACACCACAAACAGCAGCAACGGCAGAAAGAAAGCGACACAGTGACATCAGCCAAGGATGCACAAGAGCAGCTGCAGGCAGAAGAAGAGGAGGCCAAGGAACCAGAGCAGCAAGCGGAGCCACGCGTGGGGCAGGAGGATGACGTGTTTCCACCACCACCACCGGGTGCAACCATTTCAGGCGACAGTGCAAGCTCCAGCGAAGACGAAGAAGGCGAGCAAGGCGAAGATGGAGACAAGGTCATCCACGACAGGCACATGCAGGCCAGGGCGCATAGGGCTAAGCACCGTGCCTCTGCTGGTGGCAATGATGAGGATGAAAGCGAGGATGAAGAGAATGACGTGTTTGCAGAGTCAACACCAGCACAGCTGAGCGAACAACAACAGCGTGGTGGCGATGGTGGGCCTGGCAACCGGCCCCTTGTGAACTTGGCCAAGTACCGCAGTGATCGTCTGCAGCGGCAGCGGGAGGAGTCTGCAAAGGCGATGGCGAGAATACAGGCGGAGTTTGAGGCACGGCACAGCCACCGATCCTCCACAAACGGTGGCGCTGGTGATGGAAATGGGTCGCGTAGTGGTGGTGCTGGTGGCGGGGCTCCGGTGCAGGTGGTTGACGACGGTGATGGGTGGGATGAGGACTGGGAGGCGGCGAAACAGGCGGTGTTTGCTGAGCTGCTGAAGATGGACGTTCGCGCGCGGTCACGACACGTGCGCAAGATGACACCTGCGATGCGGCAGGAATGGGTGGCCCACTCCAAGCGGGTCAAGGAACAACAACAACAACAACAACAACAACAACAACAACAACAACAACAACAACAACAACAACAACAACAACAACAAGAGAAAGAGGAACGAGCGTCAAGAGCACCGCCATTTCCGTCCTTCAACACTCTGGCTTCGGCTGAATCTGGTCAACAGCTTGAACAGCCGCAACAGCCGCAACAGCTGGAAGAGCAGCAACAGCAGCAACAGCCAGAGGAAGGAAAGCGTGTCAGTGTGAGTTCGCCCGCAAGTTCACGGCCATCACGCAAAGGCAGTGCTTCGGAGAAGGACACGCGGCGCCCAACCACACCGGGATCCACAACCTCGTCCTCAGCGTCAGCGCCAACACCACGCAGCACTTTCACATACCGTCTGGCCAACGCCGCAAACCGCAGCTCACTCGTGTAATGTAACGTCACAGCAGAACGTGCACATGCCATCAGTGTCAACGTTTACTTCTGTATCGTCCGCTCCACATTGACGTTGTTCATGCAATGGTTCTCGCTGCCTCCTCCCTTTCCCTGAGAGGGTTGCGCAGCTCCCCGCACGCCCCTGTTGTATCTGCCCACCTTCGTGCTTGTTTTCATCGTGTGACTCGAAAAGAGTGATCTACTTGCTGCGAGAGCACGCCACAGCGCACGCATCGCAGGTCACGTCTTAATCATAAACAACAAACAGCGATGCTGCTGGTGTTGTTGATGTCGTGTTTGACGCGAGTGTCAAGAGGAGAAAGCAGACCCAACACAAACAGCGAAAACAGGACGCACACAGACATGTTGTGGATTGAAAGAAGGTGGTGGGACAGAGACTGTTTGAGGAGAGTGTGACGAGAAGCAAGCAGGGGGTTAGGGGAGGGGGGAACTGCACGCGGGAGGAAAGAACAGCAGACACTGAATAACAGCCGCTCCAAGCATTCCACAGACACAGTGTGTGTGTGTGTGTGCGTGTGTGTGTGTGGGTGTAGTTGTGAGCGAATGAAGGCGGGTGGCGGCTTTTGATGGCGCACACGCATGCAGCTTCATGGCACACAATAGCTGGGAGCGCATCTTGTGAACGGGGACAAGAAGAACTAACAGAGGAACAGTGAAACAGAAGTGGTGGGTGGGGAGGCGGAGAATAGCTTGAAGAGAGAAGGAAAGCTCATGCAGCTAGCTGATATGAGACGAGGAAAAAACAGCAAAGACAAATGGGAAGCTTCGCGTCAAACGTATCGGTGTCGCGTCCAGGACACCTTATTGGCTGCTCATGAGGGCCTTAACCTTCTCACGCAACAGGTGGCGCAGGCACTCGTGCAGGAACACGTATTGCTCCTGCACGTGTGTGAATGCGTGTCGTACATGTCATGTGTGTGTGTGTGTGTGTGTGTGTGTGTGTGTGTGTGTGTGTGTGTGTGTGTGTGTGTGTGCGGTGAGAACAGTAGGGTGTTCGAAGAAGCAGCAATCACCTCGCACGAGCAACGCGAGCATGCAATCATACAGCGTACAAGCACACCGAAAGTAAAATGAGCGCGGCGACCGTAAGCAGGAAACGTGGGCAACAAACCGCGCTCTGGACGAGGATGAGGCGGTGCTCGCGCATGCTGGAGATGAGGTCAAACAGCTCCGTGGCCGTGGCGTGATCATCTGCATCGAGTGCTGCCATCATTGTGTCGAGCGCAATCAGCGTTCCCGTGCGGCCGACACCGGCAGAGCAGTGCACAACCACGGGGCGCTCAAGCCCAATCTCCTCCATCTCCTGACGCATCAGGTTCCTGTACAGGACCAGGCGCAAGCGGCAAGCAGCAAGAAAATCGACACGTACGTGTGTGTGTGTGTGTGTGTGTGTGTGTGTGTGTGTGTGTGTGTGTGTGTGTGTGTGTGTGTGTGTGTGTGTGTGTGTGTGTGTGTGTGTGTTGGAAGAGGAGGGGGGGGGGTGCAACGAGGGAAAGTAGGTACAAAGGCAGGAAGTGAGTGAGAAACGCGCGTCAGTGAGACAGTAACATATGTGACTGCACAGGACACATGTTGCAACAGCGCAGAGCATTCTTTGATGCGACGCCCATCATCTGCAACTCATGATACGCAGAACACAAGTCAGCCACATTTCATGTCCTTTGCGACTCATGCCATGCACCAAAACCGTACCTGAAGTTGATCATCGACTCCACGGTGTCCGGGCGGCCGTGATCAGGCCAATCGACAAACTGCATGTGCGAGATTGTGCGCTGAAACAGCCACAAACGACGGATGAAAAACAAAACAGATAGGGAGGGGCACAGTAACGGTGGTGAGAAGCGTGCACAAGTCGACAAAGAGCAGGGCGACATCCAGTTACACGGAAAAGAATCCAGCTGCAGGGTGCCTGTGTTCTGCCTGTGTTCACAGCGTAACCACAGCAGCAGCAGCAGCAAGTGCAAGCACTGCCCCAGACAACAGCTGGTTTCCACAAACGAACGAGACCCTTCGAAACTCACAGTCTCGCCCTCGTGGGTCAGTTCAAGGCTGCGCATGACGAACGCCTCGTTGTCCGTTTCCTCCACAAGGCGCACGCGGTAAGGGCCAAAGTTCTGCACACGGTCGAGGGTAAAGGCAGCGTGGGTGGATGTGAGAACGTGCTGTGGCATATGGGATGCAACAACTGGTGTGAAAAGAGACAGACAAGCCCTGCTGCAAGAGGGGAAAGAGGCGCAAAGTGTGGACCCACACACACAACATGCCGCAAAATGACAGTCAATCCGTGGTGTGTATGCACGCACCTCCACGCTCTCTTCCTCCTCGTCGCTCTCGTCTGGGTCGCGCATGCGCGGGTGCATGAGCGTGGGCAGATACACGTCGCACTTGCGGCGGCCGCGCTCAGCAAACTTGGTCACCATCACCACCAGGTTGGCATTCTGCTCCCACACCATCTGCCAGAAGCTGCAATCACGCGCGGCAACACAGGAAGATGCACGGTGAGAAATGTGTGAATGAGACGGCAGCAGTTGCAAGCTGGCGGATTGAGAGGGAGGAGGGGCAGAAGCCGCAACACACACACGCGCGCACACACACACAATAAATACAAACACGAAACACAAACAGTCAACGCAAACACGAAAGCAAGCGTACACACGCGCTGGTGAACACAACAAACCCGCCGCAACTCACTGGTGAGCAGTGTGCTGGAGAGGTCCCTGGGCGCAGATGTACTTGAGGTTGTTGTAGCCGGGAACGTGGTTGGCGTTGATGTAGTCGAGGTGGTCGTTGTGCTGGAATCGCAACGGAACAAGACGAGGAGGAGCAGGAAGAAAAGAGGGGTGAGAAAAGAAAGACGGGGAAGGAGAGGGAAACCACACACAAACACACACAATGCAAATGTGCAAGGAGTTGTGAGGTTAAGTGCACCGCTGACGAGGAAAAGTCACGTAACACCAAGCTAAACAAACAGGGAGGCATTGTCGCATTCTCTTCACCCACCGGTGCCGGGGTCAGCTTCACCCGAGTCTCAGGATAGGGCGCGATATCACTGTGCCATGAAATGACATGGGTGATGGTGGGGTGGGGGGGGGGGGAATGTGCGCGCGCACGTGTGGGTGTGTGAGTGTACGTGATTGGCGCAGAGAACAGGGAGGAAGAGGAAGAAGAGAATGTGCCATTCTACTGAGATCGCACAGACGGCAACGACGTCACGTGTACCAACAATGCCAAGACTTCCACACAAACGCACAACACTATTTCACAGGCTCACCTGTAACGGTTGCGTCTCTTGAAGGCTGGGTTCATCACGATTTCGCGCAGGCGTTCATTGTCTGCAGACGTGAACGAGCAATGAGCAGGCAACATAAAGGGGGGGGGAGATATAATTCCAACGTAATGGTGAGCGGGAGAAAATCCAACATCTGTGAAGACTGCCGGTGCTGTACAAGCAGATGCGACATGGTTTGCGCTGCACTTGGGAACGAACCTGGACGTGGCAACCTGCGGTGCTGCATGGCCAGGCCGCTCGGGTTCTTCAGGTCCTCCTCCACTTCCTTGATGCTCCTCAGCACGGACATCAGGTCAATGGGCTTTCGGGCTACCTCGGCCTCAGCCTTGTCTGCTTCTTCCTTTGCCTTGCGCTCTGCCTCAGCCTTCTCAGCCTCCTCCTTTGCCTTGCGCTCTGCCTCGGCCTTCTCTGCCTCCTCCTTTGCCTTGCGCTCTGCCTCAGCCTTCTCAGCCTCCTCCTTTGCCTTGCGCTCTGCCTCAGCCTTCTCTGCCTCCTCCTTTGCCTTGCGCTCAGCCTCAGCCGCCTTCTCTGCTTCTTCCTTTGCCTTGCGCTCTGCCTCGGCCTTCTCTGCCTCCTCCTTTGCCTTGCGCTCTGCCTCGGCCTTCTCAGCCTCCTCCTTTGCCTTGCGCTCAGCCTCAGCCGCCTTCTCTGCTTCTTCCTTTGCCTTGCGCTCTGCCTCAGCCTTCTCAGCCTCCTCCTTTGCCTTGCGCTCAGCCTCAGCCGCCTTCTCTGCTTCTTCCTTTGCCTTGCGCTCTGCCTCGGCCTTCTCAGCCTCCTCCTTTGCCTTGCGCTCTGCCTCAGCCTTCTCAGCCTCCTCCTTTGCCTTCTTCTCGGCCTCAGCCTTCTCTGCCTCTTCCTTTGCCTTGCGCTCTGCCTCAGCCTTCTCTGCCTCCTCCTTTGCCTTGCGCTCAGCCTCGGCCTTCTCTGCCTTCTTCTCGGCCTCAGCCTTCTCTGCCTCTTCCTTTGCCTTGCGCTCTGCCTCAGCCTTCTCTGCCTCCTCCTTTGCCTTGCGCTCAGCCTCGGCCTTCTCTGCCTCCTCCTTTGCCTTGCGCTCTGCCTCAGCCTTCTCAGCTTCCTCCTTTGCCTTGCGCTCAGCCTCAGCCTTCTCAGCCTCCTCCTTCGCCTTGCGTTCTGCTTCCTCCTTCGCCTTCTTTTCGGCTGCCTCCTTTGCCTTGCGTTGCTTCTCTTCCTTCTTCTTCTTCTCCGCGGCCTGCTTTTCCTTCTTCTCTGCGCGCTTCTTCTCCTCTTCCTCGCGCATGCGCTGCTTCTCCTCCTCAGCCTTCTTCTCCATCTCGCGGAACCGCCTCTCCATCTCCTCGCGGCGCTTGCGCGCCTGCTCCTCCTGCTTCTGGCGCTCCATCTCTTCGCGGCGCTTGCGCTCCTCCTTCAGCCGCTCCGCGCGCTCCTTGGCCGCCTTCATCCTCTCAATCTCCTTCGCCACCAGCTCGCGCTCCATCTGCTCGCGCTTTGCCTCCTTCTCCTTGCGCTGTTGAGGGTACAAGAAGGCACACAGGCACAACAAGCAGCGGGGGATGGGTGAGGGAGTATCGGTGATTGGGTGAGTGGGCGCGTGACTGGGTGCTGCAGCCGTGGGAGAAATGCGAGTGGCTTGCATCAACGGTGCACCACGACGCGTGAACACGAGGACACGTGAACACGAGGAAACGTTCGCGGGGGGGTGTCCACAACCGACGCCATCGACAAACCTCCCCCCTCTCACACACACACACACACACACACTATTGCAGCACAGTACACAACTGCGGGCGCACCTTCTCCTCTGCCGCGCGTTGCTGCTGCTCAAGCTCACGCTGCGCCTTCTCGCGGCGCTCCTGCAGATGCAACGAAAAACGCAAGCAACAAGGCGGAGAGGGCAAGTACGAAAATGAGCGGCAGCGAAGACACCTCAAACAAAGAATCCCGTGCACCACACACACACACACACACACACGTGCAAACAGCCGCGACCACGGAATGACATTGGCACAAGCACACGAAATCAAAGAGCAAACCACGCATGCAACAGGCAGACACAAGCATGACGAACACAAACGCAGACACAAGCGAACCTTTGCCAGCTGCTCCTCCTTCAGAGCTTCCTTGTGGCGTTGCTCGCGCTGCTTGCGAAGGGCTTCCTGCTGCCGACGCTCAGCCTGGGCAGGTGATATGCGATGCGCGCGCGCGCGCGTGTGTGTGTGTGTGTGTGTTTGTGTGTTTGTGTGTGTGTGTGTGTGTGTGTGTGTGCCGGCAAGTAAAGGCGCACATGGGGGAACAAGGATAAGGCACGAGAAGATGAGGAGGTGATGGGGGCGTTAAGACGGCGCTGCTGGGAAAGGCGATATTGTTGGCACGGTATTGGGGCGCAGCTGATCGCACACGCGGGGGCATGCGTGCATGCTACAAAAGTTGACAGCTTGCAAGAGCAACACAGGGATGCCCATCACCGCTTCCACAGCCGCTCAAAGCAGGGTAGCATGTACGACAACCACAGCCGACAGCACACGATACGAACGGCGCACGTCACCTCAGCACCATACCGACCTTGATTTTCTCCTCGCGCTTCTTCTTCTCGGCTGCCTGCTTTTCGGCCATCTGCTTTGCGTGCTTCTTCTGCTGTGCGGCGAGCTGGGCAGCTTGGCGCTCGCGCTCCTGTTGTGCAGCGAGGGCAGCGCGTCGCTGCTTCTCCTCGAATGCCTTTTCTTGCTGGCGGAGCAGGCGCTCGCGCTCTTCACGGCGGCGCTGGCGCTCTTCCTCGCTCAGCTTGGGCTTCTTGCTGGTGCTGGAAGAGGAAGAGGGCGACGACTTGGTCTTCTGCTGCTGCTGCTGTTGCTGTTGCTGTGCGCGCGCCTGGGCTTCCTGCTGGAGAAGGGCGGCGCGGCGGGCCTTCTTCTTGTTGTTGGCGCCCTTGCGCTTGCCCTTGCCGGCATTGGCGTCATCATCCGCTTGCAGGTTGCGCGCGTACTTGACGAGCATGACAGTCGCCGCGACCATCAGCACGCCCACGATGAGCAAGAGCTCCATGCTTGCGATTCAAGGTGATCGGGAGGGATGGACGAGAAGAGATGGAGAGAGAAAGCCGTTGACTGTTGTTGCGAATCTGCGGTTGGGAGCTGCGCGAGAGAAGAGGGGGCGGGAGGAGGGGGGGGGGGGATGGATGTGCGTGAGGTGAGGTAATGGCGCGGACATTGTGGCGCGAGCATCATTGACAAGGGGATACACAGAGAGAGAGAGACAGAGACACACACACACACAGAGACAGACACACAGAGACAGAGAGACAAAGAGAGAAACATACACACACTCACATACACACACACACACACACACACAGACACACACACACACACACTCACACTCACTTCTGGTGGTGGCCACGTCAGTCGGTCAGTGCGTCGTCAGTGGTCGAGCGTCGAGTGGGTGGGTGTGGGAAAGGGAAAAAGGCAAAGCTCAAGGGCAAAACCGTCACGTCAGTCGTCCGGGAAGGGCGAAACAATAAAACGAGTTAATTTTTTTTATTGTGTGTCTGTGACACGAAATGTGCACAAAACAGGTGGATTGTATCGGTGGGGAGCTGATTTTGGGCGTGGAGCAATTTCAAGCAGTGCTATGTACAACGGGCCCAAGCATGTCCGCTGCGGCGAGGTCCTTCCAACCAAATCCAAACAAGCAGCAAAAAAGAGGAGGGTGTGTGAGGTGAGCTTGCGCTGTCTGTGGCCTGACACGATTGCTCAAAGCAAGAAGGCAGCGGCCTTTGTGCATCACGAATCAACGCCTCAACGCGTGAAGCGCTGAAGCGTGTGACGGGGAAAAGGACGAGGAGCTGAGGCAGTGAAGTGAGGGGACAAAACCTGGCTTCTTGCAGGCGCAAGCGACAGAGAGAGAGAGAGAGAGGACGATGTTCAAGAGAAGAGAGGGAAGAAGATCGCACAGAACATGTGCAGCCAGTGCAAACCGTGCTCACGTTGACGCAGAGATCACGCAGCAGGACGATAGTTGCCGTGTAGCTGCTGTGGGCTGGGACGTCAGAAGGTGTTTTGTTGTGGTATGGGCGCAGCAGCAGCAGCAGCAGCAGCAGCAGCGTCGCGTACAGGTGCTCTCAACTTCAGAACTTCCCTGCTTCCTGTGCGTCGTCAATGCATCCATCGCTCCTCCATCGGGTTGTCGCAGTATTGCTCTCTGTCAGGCCTTCCTTTCTTCTCTCTCTTTTCACCCTGTTGGCTCTGTCGCTTGATGTGAGTTCTTGACAAGCAACAAGAGTGTTAGAGTGTTGCCGTGCAAGCAGCAAGAACAGCAGGGTGCAGCAGTGCCTGATGTGTCATCACTGTGGAAAATTGGGTGTATTTTGCAATATGTTTCTGTCTACAAAGAACAAAAGAACACGCCATCAACACCCAGCCAGCCAAGAAAAACCGACAACAGACAACACAAACAAGAGGAGGAGAGTGTGGACACTCATTTGAGAAGAAGAACAAGACTGAACCCAAGCAAGCAAGCAAGCGAGGCACGCATCGCAGGCTGTCTTCTCGACACTCTCGGTTTGACGGAAAGCTCATCGCGAAGCACACAGTCCCGCCACCGGCCCACCCATCGCTGCGCTTGCTCAGCAGCGACACAGAGCCATCGGAACGTGCGTGAGTGATTCCCAAGACACACAGTGTCGCCACCCAAACCAAAACAAGACGACACAAAGGTGATTGTGACTGTGACTCAGGGACAAAGCTGCAGTTGTTTCTGTTGATGCCCACCGACCAACCTGCTTGCTTCTTCCTGTGTCGTGCGTTCTCAGCCACGCGCATGTGTTAACGGCGTTGTGCGTGCAACCCACACACATCCTCTAACGCGAATTGCAGTTAACAACCTTGCGTGCATCCACTTCTGCCGACCTCAGTCACACGCACCAACAGACACAACTACCTTGCCTGTCGACACCGCCAACCACACACACGCACACACGCACACGCACACACACACACACGCACACACACTTTGTGACGTGTCTTCATGTTCCACGTCGCCGATGCTCACCCGTGGTTTCGTTCACATCCATGCTGCTCGTTGACAGGACAAGCAAAGGGCGTGCAGCTGTGTGCTCTGTCCGTAAACAGCAAGCCAAAGTTTTACGTTAGCGCCTGAAGAGGCGGCGGGCTGGTCCTGCTCCACATACGTGTTGCCCTGGCCGCGTTTCTGAATCGACACGCCTTGCGGCCACCGCAACCATGACAGATTCCACGGTTGGTGCTGTGCATGGCGATCCAGTGAAAGTTCATGTGTGTTAGCTGTGTCGTCTTGAAGCTGTCACTGCCAACCCCAACACGGGACGCTGACACACACACACCCTTACATACATCTGTTCGCTCACGCATGACCGTGTCTGTAATTGTCTTGTGCGCACGCACCTGTATCATGTATCCGAGCAGCAGGAAGAGAAGGTGCAGGAGTTGGCGATGATGGGGTTTGACGCCGGGCTCGCCCGCGCGGCGCTGGTGAAAGCGCACAACCGAATGGAGGCCGCAGTTGGCTTTCTCGTGGACGGCAGCTCCTTAACACCCATCCACGAGCCTCTCCCAGACACGGTGTGTGTGTGTGTGTGTGTGTGTGTGTGTGTGTGTGTGTGTGTGTGTGTGTGTGTGTGTGTGTGTGTGTGTGTGTGTGCGGGGGGGGGAGGGTACTGACGCATGGTGCTGGGTGTTGTTGAACAATGTCGTTGGGGATGCCTGTACAACAGCACGCATGCCTCACATGCAGTACACTTCACATGCATGTGTGCCATTTCTTCGCTCTTCAGGGCGGTCACACGTCGCCACCAATGACAGTGTCTCGCTCCAGCTCGCCCGAAACTGCTCACAAGGTGCGCGCACGATCAGGTGTTGCCACTGGTGGAGGCCATCTTTGAGGAAGGTTTGCTTCTGCGCACAGAACTGAAGGAGGAAACACGTCTCGACTGTTGTTGGCTTGCTGCCGCTGTGACACAAAACAACGGTGGGTGAGTGAACGGAGCAATGTGTGCATGTCTGGAAGGCGGTTGTCTTTGTGATACGAGGTCTCATTATCCGGAGTACCCCACCCTCCTTCTCTTTGAGGCCTTTTGCGTTGCTTGAACGGCGGCGAAGCTACACCTGGTGTATTGCAGTCAATAACGTCGCTCGGCTGCTGCCCACACAACTTACACATTTGTACTCCTTCTGTGCTCCATTGTCCTGTGCAGTCAACGTGCAGACTCAGTTAAGCAAACACATTGTGGAGCAGACGCTCGCCTTCCTCGAGCTCTTGTGCGTTTTCACATCAACGCAGGAACTTGTTTGGGTCAACTGGCGAGCGTGTGCCGGTGCTTGTGTGTGTGTGTGTGTGTGCGCGTGTGTACGTGTGTGTGTGCTTGTGCATGTGTGTATGTGTATGTGTGTGTGTGTGTGCAGTCACATCCCCTTGGGCTGCATATTCATGTCACCGTATTTCATATCATGCAAGAGTCTTTGGGGCCAGGCGTACGCCGCCCAGCAACCCTAGCGCAGCGCATGCTTGTTCTTGTTTTCATCTGCTCGCCTGCTTTCACACGGCCCAACGGCCCGTGCATGCATGCCACTGGCAGGTTGAAGCGGCACTCAAACCTGGCAGCGAGCGCGACAGCTGCGCCGTTGCAGTTCCTCGCCGGTCTGTCATTACACAAGCGTAAGTGCCCTCCGGCCGTTGAGCACAGAGTACACACTTCGAGAGCACACACACCACGTGTACAGAGCACGAGTGTGCGTAGTCTCACATGCAGCACCTATCTTCTTGTGTGTGGGGAACTGCAGACGATGTGGCAGTGGCACTGGGGAAGCAACGCTTGTTTGTGCAGCTGATGGACATTGTGGCCTCAAGCTCAGATGCAGCACAGTTGATTGTGAGTCCCTGCTATGTCGCAGCATATACCAGCATGATTGAGTGTGCGACAACGTTCTTGACGAACAAGCAGCCACCTTGCTGGCTGATGTTGTTGTGCACACCAGAAACTCATGCTTGCATGGATCGCTGCTGTGTTGTACACAAACGTGTGTGTATGTGTGTGTGTGTGCCACAACACAGGAAGCGGCACTGCAAGCATGGTCACCCAAGACGGAGGCAGAGTGCAAGATTGTGATGCAGGCAGTTCGGTCGGCAAGCGGCAGTGACAACGCTGTGCCAGGAGGTGTGGCCGACGGGCATCAGAGCTGGGTCGTCATCGTGAGGGCCAAGAGCAAAGAAGTCCGCGAGGCCGCAACTCGCGCTCAGCGGCACCCTTTGCCCATGTTCTTCCCCACGAGCCGAACCTTTCGCCAGCACCCTCCTCAGCGCGTCCTGGCACCGGCAGCTTCCAGAACAATGCACGCCGCCCAGTCCCCTTTTCACATCAACCCTCAACGTCAACAGCAGCAAGAACGCTCGCACCCACTGCACCGGCCGCACAGCCGGGTTGGTCAACACGCACAGCTACATCGGCTGCTCTGGCTCTCTCCACACAGCCGCCAGCCAGAACCGCAGCTTCGGCAACAACATCACGCGCGCCATCAGCCCTGTGCATCGCCCCGCCTTCGTCCTCGCCTTCCACTGCACGATTCGTCCGAAACTGAGGAGGAGGCGGCAGAGGAGGAAGACGATAGCGACAGCAGCCACGGAAGCAGCAATGCACGTGCGAAGCACGTGCGACAGGTGCAGCCCGCAACCGCCGCGGTCACTCGGGGGAGCAGCGTCTTAACGACCACCGTCAAACCTGCATTGATCAGCGCAAATATCACCAACGTCAACACAAGCGTCGCCACTGCAGCCCAGCATCCTGGCTCGCCGGCACCAGCGCCACCGCAGGAACACGTGCGCAGCCCCAGCAGTACCAGCGGCGGCACCAACAGCAGTGATGTTTGCGGCGGGGCCAGCGGAGACGAGTCAGCGGCGCCAGCAACGCCGCCGACAACACCGTCACCAGCAGCGCCACAATGTGTATCTTCACCGCAGGCGCCATGTCCAGGTGTTGTCGCTCATGCTGCTGACGCGCCACAATCACCAACGCTGCCGCTGCTATCGTCGTCTCCACCAGCCCACCACAGCGGACGAAGGGTGCCCTCGCAGTACAGCGTCATCAAAATGCCGATGCAGGTTCCACGGCTATTCCTCAGCACGCAGCAGCGCCACAAAAGCATGTACAGAAGCAACACTGGCTCGCGTGGCCTCGGTGGCACGACGGGACGCCGGCGTCAACACCAGCAGCAGCAACGAGAGGACCGAGGTCGTGGACGCCGTCAGCTACGCCGCCGACGCGTTGCGTTCACGCCACAAGAGGATGAGTATATCCGCCTTGGCGTCAAGCGGTGTGTGTTGACGAGTTGCCTGGCATGTTGATGTGTTGGCACGTGCAGCGCGTACTCTATGTGTGCTGTCGTGCTGTGTACACGGTTGTGCAGACGTGCACGCTGGGGTGTTCAGCTATTCTCTGTCTCTGTCTCTCTCTGTCTCTCCCCCCCCTCTCTCCCCTCACACACACACTCTCTGTCTCTGTCTGTCTCCCTGTCTGTCTCTCTCTCTCTGTCTCTCTCTCTGTCTCTCTGTCTGTCTCTCTGTCTGTCTCTCTGTCTGTCTCTCTGTCTGTCTCTCTGTCTGTCTCTCTGTCTGTCTCTCTGTCTGTCTATCTCTCTCTCTGTCTCTCTCTCTCTCTGTCTCTCTGTCTGTCTCTCTGTCTGTCTCTCTGTCTGTCTCTCTGTCTCTCTCTCTCTGTCTCTCTGTCTGTCTCTCTGTCTGTCTATCTCTCTCTCTCTGTCTGTCTATCTCTCTCTCTCTGTCTGTCTATCTCTCTCTCTCTGTCTCTCTCTCTCTGTCTCTCTGTCTCTCTGTCTCTCTCTCTCTCTGTCTCTCTCTCTCTCTCTCTCTCTCTCTCTCTCTCTCTCTCTCTCTCTCTCTCTCTCTCTCTCTCTCTCTCTCTCTCTCTCTCTCTCTCTCTCTCTCTCTCTCTCTCTCTCTCTCTCTCTCTCTCTCTCTCTCTCTCTCTCTCTCTCTCTCTCTCTCTCTCTCTCTCTCTCTCTCTCTCTCTCTCTCTCTCTCTCTCTCTCTCTCTCTCTCTCTCTCTCTCTCTCTCTCTCTCTCTCTCTGTGTAACCCCACCCCAACCCCCCTTCCACGGCCTGTCATTTGCCGCTGCCACACCGAATTCACCCCTTCCATCGCCATTGCCACCCTTGTTTTTGAGCAGGCTGGGCAGCGGTGGCTGAACACGAGCACCTTCAGCCACCTGTGGAAGTTTCTCATTGCCGAGCCGTCGTGCAGCGCTGACTTGCACATCTACGGCGCCTGGCTCAAGGAAAACGTCGAGACAGAGGTCAGACACAAGCGTACTTTTGTGTGTGTGTGTGTGTGTGTGTGTATGCGTGTATGTGCGTGTATGTGCGTGTGTGTGTGTGTGTGTGTAGCCTTGTTCTTTGGACTTGTGCACTTGTGTCTGTGCATTTGTGCCGCACTGCACAGGAGCGTGCATCAGACGCTTCCCACAACACACGCACCCCTCCTTCCTTCCTTCCATCCACAGGTGCAGCCACGTGCGCAGCAGAGCGTGTTCCTGAACCAGGCGCTGCAGTTGCCTGTCGAGCGCTTCACGCCAGACATCTTCGATGCGCTCGTCTCCCTCTTCCTCTGCACCAACGGCGAACACAACCGCATCTACGGATCGGTCAGCCCCATTGTCTTGTCTTATCTTGTCTTGTCTTGTGCTCTTGTGCTCTTGTGCTCTTGTGCGTGTTCATACTTGTGTTCGTATGCGCGGTCATACGATATGTCGAATTGCCGCACTTGTTCTCATGTATCCTGTTTACATTGCTTTCTCCCAACTCAACCCATGAGTCCACTCATCTCGCATGTATGTGTGTGTCCGTGTGTGCAGAAGCTTGAGTCGATGCGCGTTGAGCAGAGCAACCTCCTCGGCCTCAGCCGCATCTGGACAATCGGTGAGATCACATCCAACCACATGCAACACGCATGCTCGCTTGCGCATTCATTTCCCTTTCTTCATTTCCCTTTCCTTGAGTCCCCGTCTTGTCACACACACTCTCTCACGCACTTACTCACTCACACACACTCACATACACACGTTTCCCTCCCCCTCCCCGCGTTAATTAGCGCTTGAGACGCGCGATGCTGGTGTCGCAGAGAAGGCGCTGGGTGTTCTCGAGCGCGTGTACAACGACGCCATCTTCTCCAACATGCCGGACAGCGGGCCGCACCTGCTGTTTGTGATTGTGCGGCAGCGCATTGCGTCGCTCGCTCGCCGCCTGGACGCCTTTACAGAGGGCACGCGCATCGAGGACATGGTGCCCGCGTTCGGTGCGTTGCGGCGATGTATTTGGGTGTGGGCTGTGTTCGGGCGGTGTGTGGGCTGTGAGGAAAGGAATGAGGCGAGGGAGGGAGGGCGGGGCAGGGAAAGGAATTTGATGCAGGTGTGGCTTTGCTGGTGCTGTCGACGGTGTCCACGCACTGTCTTGCTTTGCCATGACGCGTGCGCTGCCCTAATACGCATTCGCTTGTTCCTGCTCACACTGCTTCGCTCGTTTGACGGCCTTCACTGCAGCTGCGCCTGCTGAGGAAGACGCCCGCCACTCGTCGTCCCCAGCGGCGCTGCAACGCGACCAGCACAGCCTTGAACAGCACGCCGCTGCTGATACAAGTGGTGTTGATATCGATGGCGCCCGCTCTGGAAACACCGTCAGCTCTGCCACGACGGCAAACAACGGCAACAACGGCGATGGCGGAGGCAACGAGCCGCGACTGGCGCGCGTGTCTGTGACGGTCGAGGACCTGGACGTTGGCCACGTTGCTGTCGTTGTTGAAGCGCCACAACAACAACAACAGCAACCACAGCATCACCAGCAGCAGCAACAGCGGCGAGAGCGTGCGGCGACCAGTGACAAGATGACGGCTGACTGTGCACGCGGGCAGGCGAGCGTGGCGATGGATGATGGTGCGGACGCCGACGATGAGGACGAAGACGACGACGAGCTCGTCGTGGAGACTTCGGGGGTGTCGAGTGCAGCAAACACGGGGGCGGCAACAACAACAGCAACTGCAGCAACACCCTCCAGTGCAGCTGCAAGCAGTCATGGTGGTGGTGACAGCGGTGCGTGGTACACCCGTCCGCACCCCAAGAAACACGCCAAGTCTTCGCACACCTTGCATGACGACGATGATGATGACGATAATGATGATGATGGGCACGTGATTGATGACGACGACGAATATGTTGGTGGTGACGGTGATGTGGACCTTGAGGCCGGCCTGTCTCGTCGCCAGCATCAGCGCAAGCGTCGTGGGGGCATTTCGCCCGTGGATGCACACGGTGACCTGGCAGGACTGTCGCGAGGCACGTTTGCGCCTATCCGGCAACCGGCGCCCACGCATGTCGTTGATGACGATGAGGTGGAGCCGTTTCTGCAAGACTGGCCCACGGAGCACGACGACGATAGCGGCAACGGCAACGGAGGAGGTGCTGGTGATCATGGCCACCATCGCAATCGCATGGATAGCGCCTCAAGCGCGGATGGCGGTGCGACCACTGCAGGTGCGGCCGGCACGACGATGGCCACCAACACCGGCACAATTGGCGCTGCCTCCGCGTCTGCCTCCACGGCAGCAACTGCGACGGGTGTGTCCGGCAACAAGCGGAACAGCGCTGCTGCTGCTGCGGCTGCGTCGACAGCCGATGATTTGGCGGAGCAGATTTCTGAGGAAGTGTCTGTTGCGGACATGTCATTGCCAATGGTTTTGCAGCAGCTGGAGCGCCTCACGTTCCTCTTCAGGAAGTTCCTCCAAGTGTGTGCATAGTTTTGTTTGTTTGTTTGTTTGTTTGTTTGTGTGCATAGTATGTTTGTTTGTTTGTTTGTTTGTTTGTTTGTTTGTTTGTTTGTTTGTTTGTTTGTTTGTTTGTTTGTTTGTTTGTTTGTTTGTTTGTTTGTTTGTGTCTTGCGTGTGTGTGTGTGTGCTTGCTTGCTTGCTTGCTTGCTTGCTCGTACGTGGTTATCAGTCCGCTCCCCCCCCCCCCCACAACCTGATCGTGCACGTGGTCACGAGTCATCTCATGCGATGCCCCTGCTCCGTATCCACGATGACAGAATGATGATCATTCGCAGATTCGCAGCATCCGTCTCGTCCGCCCGCACCGCGTGGCTGCGCGTGGCGACGAGGTGAGACCAGCACATGTGGCATCTTGCGTGACATCTTGCGTGTTGCCTGTGGTGGCAGGGATGGCGGCAGGGATTGTGGCACCTTGTCGCCGTGCTGTGTCGCGTGCCTTCCGCTTATGTTGGCCATGGTGGTCGTCACCGTCTCACCGTTTGTACCGTTGCAATCCTCGCTGCCTCAGATTGTGTTCCACATCAAGCACGGCGGCACCACCGCTTCTCTGCGCACACACACCACCGCGCCAGTCTGCATCCTCCGCAGACAGGTGCGGCTGTGTGTATACATACGTGTTTGTGTATTTGTATTTGTATTTGTACTTGTATGAGTGTGTGTGTGCATGAGTGTGTATGTGTGTATATGTGCTGCTCGCCATCCTGTCGTCTGGCGTTGCCCCGTGCCATTGCCAAGAACGCTGCTGCACAATCTCACATTCTCGACCTCACTCGCACCAACCGCGACCTTATTCACCCTGACCCTACCGACCATAGGTGAGTCATTGGCTCAACTGGCCGTACACGTCTGTCCGCCTCACCATCAACGACAGAATCGTCAACCTCGCAAAGGTGCGGATCGGTGCTCTGAATGTGCATGTGTGTGCATGTGTGTGTGCGTTTGTTTTTGTTGTTGTTCTTGTGTTTGTGTGTGTGTGTGTTTTTTTTGTATGTTCCTTGTTCTGTCACAGGGGTTTCGCTTGCTTCCATGCAGCTGTGTTTCCACATGCAAACACACATGCGCACGCACTCATTCATGCGCACACGCACACACACGCTCCACATTCTTGGCCTGCAGGACTCGAAGTTGTGGTGCGACATTGGCGTGACGGGCGGATCGCGGCAGGTCCGCGTGACAAAGGTGAGGTGGTGTGCAGGCTGAACGAGTGCACGAACAAACAACACAACTCAAGCTGATACAAGCACGACAGCACACAATTAGCATTCATTGCATTCCCTTTGCTTGCACACATGGTCGCCTTGCTCTTGCACACACTTTTCGCCCGCACACTCTCTCACTCTCTCGCGTGTGTGCCCTGTCCTCCTTTTTTTTCCCATTCCCGCCCGACCTCCAACCCGTTAGATCAACCCCAATTCGCAGTCGAACGTTTCGCAGCTGCCGGGCAACGACTGCCAGGGGTTCACGCGCCCGCTGTCCAACAACGTCTCCATTGAGGATGAGCTGAAGCTCGTCAGCGTGTACGCCTCCCGTGACCGCGACTTTATGGACGTCCTCATGTACCTCCTCGTCGCCCTGCCAAAGGTGCGCGGCACGTGCGTGTGTGTATGTGTGTAAGTGTGTCTGTGTGTGCGTGCGTGTGTGTGTGTCTGTGTGTCTGTACATGTGTGTGTTTGTACGTGTGTGTGCGTCTGTGTGTCTGTATATGTGTGTGTTTGTATGTGTATGTGTGTGTTTTGATGTCTACCTGTTTCTTTGTCAGTGTGCTCGTGTGTGGCACGCATGCACTTGATCATCCCCAGCGAGACGCTGTCGTCAACCCCGCATCCTAAAACACTGTCACAAATGCTGCTTGTCCCCTCCTTTGGTTTTGTTCCTTCAACAGCACGCGCAGTGGGTCGTGCAGGGTGATTTTGACGAGGCCGTGTACTCTGCAGCGACGAAGGCACAGGAGACGCTCGATGGCCTGCTGCAAGTGCTTCCGACCAACGCTTTCTTCTTGCAGAGCCTTGCACAGGTGCGACACACAACAACAACAACAACGAACATTATGCTCACGCTGCTCACGATTCCAGCGTCCGACCCACAGTTCAACCCCACATTTGCTTCCTACTTGCCTCGCGTGGCCACTTACCCCATTCACACACACACACACACACACACACACACACACACACACACACACACACACACACACACACACACACACACACACACACACACACACACACGCACGCACGCACGCACGCACGCACGCACACACACACACACACGCACACACACGCACACACACGCACACACGCACACATGCACACTCGCGCGCGCACACACACAACCCTCCCCCCCCCCCCTTTTCCCAACCTCGTAGGCGGTCGCTGATGACTGCGAGGACGACAGCAACAGCAAGCTGCCGATGCTGTTCCTGCACGCCCACCGTGACCAGCACCTGCTTGCCTACCGCGTTGCTGCGCTGCGGGCCGCCATCACCCCGGGCATTGTCGGCACAGAGGGCGCCATGCTCTCCACGCAGGCCCTGCGCAACCGCTTCCTGGAGGTGGGCGGGTTTGACGTGATTTGCCACCTGCTCGCCCTGGCCTGGCAGCCGGCGCCGCTGTCGCCGCCGGCAGAGCAGCTGTGCACGGAGCTGTTGCTGCTCATCCTGCACACACTCGCCTGCGCGTTTGACTGCACGCTGCCCGAGCTTGAAGACCTGCTTCGGGAGAAGACGATGCTGGTGGAGGACTCGCTCGACGAGGCCGTCTTCACCAACGGGTACACGCGGTCGCCAACGGAGCGCGCGTACAACGCCGTCAAGCACTCCAACGAGCTGCAGCTGCTGGTGCAGCAGTGCGGCCAGTTTGTATCGCGCATGCACTTCTCGGCAGAGAGTGCTGGCAGCTTGGTGCCCTTGGCATACCGCACCGTTGCGCTCGTGCTGTGCGTGCGGCCGTCGCTGCTCTACTCCTTGGGCACGCCTCGCGACGTGGACAGGTTCTTCGTGCAGGGGACCCTCTATGACCCATCGCCGCTGTGCCGCCTGGCTGCCGCCCGCACCGTGTGCCAAATTGCGCAGGTGACTGTCGAGTACACGACGCTGGCTGTCCTTCGCGTGCAAACGCAGGAGATGCAGGACGACGAAGAGGAGCAGGAGCAGGAGCAGGCCAACAAGGCAGCAGCCGACACTCCCAACCAGCAGCGTCTGCAGCAGCGGCAGCAGCAGCGGCGTCGCAAGCGCGCGTCATTGGCGCACGTGCCGACCAGCACTGTCCGGGACCACAACATCCGCCCGGACGCCGGCACGTCGCTGCTGGTCATCTTCGTGCGCATGTTCCTGGACCGCTCCCTGCCGCTGTGGAGCCCAGAGTGCGTAAAGTTGCCAAAGCCGCCGCAGCGCGTGTTCTTCCTGGACCAGGTGTTTGATGTGCTGGCGTTTCTGCTCAACACGCTGGCGAGCGTGGACAGCATGCTCACGCTGCAGGACAAGGAGGTGCTCGCCTCCATGCCGGACGCCCCCGCGCTGACTACAATGGAGATGGCGTTGTTTAGGAAGGTGGCGCTGGCACACTACGAAACTGAGATGCATCGCCCGTCACGCCGCGTCTCGCAGCGGTCGTCCTCATCGTCGTCGCTGTCGTCGTCATCTTCTTCGTCTTCGCCTTGCTCGCCAGAGAAGCACGACGCTGGCATGGCAAACAACACCAACACTGACAACACTGGCAACGATAGCGGTGGTGATGGTGACGGAAGGAACAACCCGTTCAGTGACGATGACACTGCCGAGGCGGCGAAGCAAGCACACCTGCTGGACGCCATGTCCACGGCTGTGCGTCAGGGGAGTGCAACGCTGAACCCCAATCCAAACACGAGCGATGGCACGCATGCCGCTGGCGGGACAAGTTCCACTGAACACGAGGAGGGTGACAACGGTGACGTGGACAGGGCAGGGGATACCGCAGCACGCCAGTTTGCCGAGGAGAAGCGGGCAAGCGTGTACTCGTGGCAGCAGCAGCAGGAAGAGGCGGCTGAGGAGGACTTGAAGCGCAGCATGCGACACCGCCGCCGCCGCCATCGTCGTCGTCAGCAACGTCGTCGTGACAAGGGGGAGGCCGCGTGCACCATGATGAGCACCACCTCGACAGGGCGGCCGTCCCGCCACAGTGGTGGTCGTAGGCCACGGCGTCTCCGCCTCGCGTCGCACCGGTACTCGCACGCGGGTTTGTATGAGGAGAATGCAGCGAGCCAGCACGAGCAGCGCGCCATTCACGGCCACCTGAAGGTGATGCACGAGCTGATGGCATTTAGAAACGTGGATCTGCTGTCCTTCCTGCGCCCACAGCAACAGCAGCAGCAGCAGCAGCTGAATGGGCAAGACCAGTACGTGCACCAGGACGATGACGATGCCTTTGCACCCCATCCACAAGAACTGCAGCAGTCACTGCAGCAGAAGGGAGAGAAGGAAGGCGTTCTGCCTGGCACATCGTCCACCGCTTCCAGTGCAGCCACGCCTGCAGGAAGGAGCAGCAGCAGCGGCGGCGATGCCGCTGTGTCGCGCGTTGCATCTGAGGAGGCGGTTGCTGGCGCCATCAACACGTTTGGGCACGGCCTCTCCCGCCAGGGATCTGCCGCGAGCGACGGCGCTCTGCCATCGTCCGCACACACACCCAAGGCCAACGGCACAGCTCACATGGCAGCAGCACCGACACCAGCAGCGCGCGGCGCCGGCAGTGCACAACAGCACAAGACAGCGCTCCTGTCACCGAGCACAGCTGCAGCAGCGACAGTAGGAGGCGCCGGAAGCAACGACAGCAGTAGCTGTGCTGGTGCAAGCGGTGCGAGCCAGGTGGCCCGCATGCACCTGGAGAGCATCAACACGGGCTCTTTCCTCGTCATTCTGCTTGAATTCTACCTGTTCCCTGCCGCGGTTGCGCAGGCCATGGCGGAGGTGACGGGCAGCAGCGAAGCGCTGCAGCAGCCGCTGTGCCAGCTTGACTTCACCCGCAACCTGTGCGCCTCGTTTGTGACGCGCCTGTGCTCGCGCAGTGGCGCGTGTCAGGAGGTGGTGGTGGAGTGGCTGGACCGCTTTGTGCTCTCTGGCGTGAAGATTGGCGCGACGGAGTGGAAGGTGGAGCCGAACATTGAGCCGCGCACGTGCGGTGTTGGCCTGGCAAACGCATCGGCCACGTGCTACATGAACAGCACCTTCCAGTCGCTGTTCATGCAGCCGATTGTGCGGGAGTTTGTGCTGAGCATCGACGACGCGCTGGAAACCAAATACCGCCAGGAGCGCCTGAAGGAGGCCATGGAGGAATACACGCAGGAATTGAAGAAGAAGAAGCAGCAGCAGGAACAGCAGCAGCATGAGACGGTCAGCGGTGATGCGGGCGCACAGCAAGAGCAGCAGCAGCAGCAGCAGCAGCTTCCAGGCACGCGGGCAGCCGCACTCCTCTCTGACACGACGGCAACAGCGACTGCAGCAGACACAGTTGTGGCAGCAACAACGACACCCGCACCAGAATCTGGCAACCATGGCGAGAAACGCCAGGAAGAAAAGGATGCGGGAGACAAAGTGGAAGAAGAGGACGGGGCACCCAAGCCCCCAACCCTGGACACGGTTGGGCACAGCTTCTTCCACGAGTTTCAGCGCATCTTTGCGCACTTGGCAGGCTCGCAGGAGCGCTCCTACCGGCCCGAGTCGTTCTGGAACACGTTTCTGTTCTACGGCGAGCCCGTGAACCCGCGCGAACAGATGGACGTGGCGGAGTTTATTCAGAACTTTGCCGACCAGGTTGACTCGCACCTGCGCGCACACGACCTCCCGCCCATCTTCGAGTGGACAATTGGGGGCGTGTTCAGCGACCAGAAGCGCGTGAAGGAGTGTGGGTGCATGTACGTGCGCGAGCAGCCGTTTGTGCTGCTGCCGGTCGCTGTGAAGAACAACGTGACGCTTGAGGAGGCGCTTGCAGAGACGATTCGTGGCGAGACGATTGAGGACTACAGGTGCGAGCGCTGTGACATCCGCGGGACCGCCATCAAGCGCATGTGCGTGCAGCAGCTGCCGCGCACGCTGATTGTGCACCTGAAGCGGTTTGACTTTGACTGGTCTGCGCAGGAGACGGTCAAGTTCAACGACAAGTTTGTCTTCCCAGACGAGCTTGACTTGTACCCGTACACGACGGGCGGTGTTGCGGCGCGCGATGCGCAGGAGCAAGCGATGGCCAAGCAGCAGGAACGGGAGGAGCGGCGGCGACAGCGGCGCGCTGAACGCCGGCAGGCACGCAGGGAGGAGAAGCGAAGACAGAGGGAGGAGAGGGAGAGGCTGCGCAAGAACAAGGCAGCAGAGGAAAAGAAGGCAGCGGAGGACAAGGTGGAAGAGATGCAGGACGCAAGGAACCAGGTCAAGGCGGATGGACAAGAGGGTGCGGACACGCAACAAAACGTGGAGGATGGTGCGCATGAGAACAATGGTGCGACTGCTGTGAATGCTGGCGATGAACAACACAACCAGCAACAGCAGCAGCAGCAGCAGCAGCAGTCTGCGAGTGACGCTGCCATGCGCGAAGACACCAGTGCCTCTGCCACCGAGATGGAGGATGATGACGATGACGATGACGATGATGATGATGTGTCGGACAGTGAAACTGATGGTGATGGTTCATCCTCGCGTGCCTCTGCCGCGTCCAGCGCGCCACTGGCGTCACCGCCCCTCTCCTCATCCTCTCCCTCATCGTCGTCGGCCTCGTCACCGCACAGCGGCAACTGTTTGTATGAGTTGCACGGCGTTGTTGTGCACATGGGCAATGCGCGTGCCGGCCACTACTACGCGTACGCGCGTGTGCGCGAGACGGTGGACACGCTGGAGCAGGGCACCGCTGGCAAGTGGATCAAGTTCAACGACAGCGCCGTGTCGTATGTGGAAGTGACGCCCGAGCTGAAGGAGGACCAGTTCTTTGGCGGCGACGACTTTGTGGTGACGGCGTACGGGCATTCGCAGAAGAACTACAGCGCCTACCTGCTCATTTATGAGCGAAAGGACGTGCTGGCACAGCTGACGGAGGAGGAGTCTGTGCTGCTGCTGGTGCAGAAGGCGCTCAGGGAGACACGCCGCAAACGGCAGCAGGAGAAACGGCAGCAGCAGCAGCAGCAGCAACCAGACTCGCAGGAGCGGCAGCAGGAAGCCGACGATGGTGGTGGTGATGGTGTTGATGGTGGCATGGCTGTCTCGCCCGAGTGCGGGGATGAATCCGTGTCGTCGTCGATGCGAACGACACCAACGACAACGACAGCAGCGACTGGTGCCACCATGGACACAACGAGCACCACCTCTGTCGCCACCACCGCCATCACAGCAACAGCGACAACCACGAATGACACACGTGGCAGCGGTGCTGATGGCGGTGATGAGGAGGATGCGAGGTTGGCGCGGATGGAGCGGCAATTGCGCTCGCTGATCAAGCAGCGGCACTTCAGCGAGGAAGTGTGCGAATCGCGGGACATTGTGTCCCAGCTGCGCGCAGACAACCTCAAGTTCAACTTCCAGCGTGCGGCCTTCTCAAAGGAGCTGTTCTCGCTAGTGCGCAGCCTGGTGGATGCTGGTGGCAGCGTTGACAGCAGTGGCACGAGCGCACGCACGCTGCGGCTGGTGCTGCACTTCTTCTTCGACATCTATCTGCACCTGCACGCGTCGACGCGCAAGATTGAGGCCAACCTGACGCACTCGCTGACGTTCCTAATGCGGGTGCGGCCGGAGGTGCAGGACATGGTGCTGGCGTATCTGGTTGAGCGCGAAGACATCCTGCCCATGTTTGTGATTGGCTGCGAGGAGCAGGAGGTGCGCGAGCTCGTGTTTGATGTCGTGCGTGCGGCGCTTGGCAGCAACACGGCGCCGCCGTCGTCGTCGTCATCATCGACGTCGATCACACCGTCGCCAGCGCAGGCGTTCCAGCGGCTGCCGCACCTGTCGTCGTTCCTGCTGCAGCTGACCTCGCTCGTCCGCGACAAGGCCGTGCACTTCCCCAGCAACATGTCCCCGGTCCTGTCGCTGCTCGCCGACTTTGTGGACGTGAGCCCCGCGCACGTTGCCCTGTGCGCGTCTGTGCAGCTGGATGTCGCGCTGGTGCACACGCTGTGGGCGACGGCGGGCGCGACGAGCAGCAGTGGCGGTGCAGACCGCAAGCTGACGGTGACACAGCGCATGGACCTTCTTCGCGCCTACGACATCCTCACCGCCGTCTTCTTGAAGTCCGACCTCTCCTCTTACGCAACATTGCCGGCCGGCGTGTCCTTCAAGCCAGGTTGGGGAGGGGTGTGTGTGGGTGTGGGTGTGTGTGCGTGTGCGTGGGTGGGTGTGCGTGTGCGTGTGCGTGTGCGTGTGTGTGGGTGTGTGGGTGTGTGGGTGTGTGGGTGTGACAAAGGGTGGAGGGAGGGGGATTCAAGATGAGGTGCACCTTGGGTGCGGATGCTTCATGTTGTCATACCCTCTTGCTCGCTGGGATTGTTGCAACTTTCAATAGCCTCTGTTCTTACTCTCTTACATCAACGTCATCACATGTGTGTGTGTGTGTGCAGAGTTCAACATTGTGAATGCGCCGCCGCTTCGCCTCTCTCGTCCGCTCTTTGACGTCACCATTGCGTCAGACTTTCTCTTTGCGGACATCATTACCATGGAGACAAGTGCGTGCCGCTGTTACATGTTTCTGTCTGTGTGTTGTGTGTGTGTAGTGTGTGTGTGTGTGTGTAGTGTTGTGTTGTGTTGTGTTGTGTTTGTACGTCTGTATCTGTATTGTGTGTGTGTGTGTGTGTTGTGTTGTGTCTGTACTTCTGTATCTGTATGCCCATTGCTGTTGCCATACCACATCTCACTCACTGCTGTGTTCAAACACGTTGTGTTGTGTTTGCATTCAGTCCAACAAGACCACCTGTCAAGAGTGCTTGTCCACGCCTGTCGCCGTAACGCATGTAAGTCTTGCCATGTGCCTGCCTTTGTGTGCGTGTGGGGTTGTGTATGTGCTGCGCGGGCGGCTCGGGTCATCGTGCTCCCCTGCACACTGCTCTCACGTGCATGACGTCAACCCCATCTTCAACAAACAACAACAACAACAACACGTACAGTGCTGTCGACGCGTGTGATTACGCGGCTGCATGAGGCAATCATCTCGTGCAGTCTCGACGGGCGCCGCTACTGTTCCCTCCTTGCAGACGTCCTCTCCATCCGTGACGAAGTCTCCCTCCACCGCGCACGTAAGGCGCTGTTCTTGCTTTTGCCCTTGTGCTCTCGTTCTTGTTCTTTTTTTTTTTCTTGTTATTCTTATTCCTGTGCTTGCCATCAACACTTTTGCATGTCACTTGCGCTTTGGTCCAAACAGCAGCTGACCTCAAACACACACATCACCACATCCACACACACACACACACACACACACACACACACACACACACACACACACACACACACACACACACACACACACGTGGATTCCCCCCCCCCCCATCTTTCCCTTTTCTCGACGCTCTCCAACCTTCCAACCTTCTTCAACCTTTGCAATTGCCAGACTTTTCGCTGCACGGCACTGCGGTAGAGGTGCCGTTCACGTACCCCGCCGCCGCCGGCGAGCAGCAGCCGACGACGATGCTGAAGCAGTTTGGGCTCGAGTCCATGCCCCTGCTGGAGTTTATGCGCATGCTGGAAGGCAACCACGCTGCCAAACTGTACAACCTGGTGTGCGTGGTGGTGAAGCTCGCCGTGTGCGGGCCCATGGACGTGCAGCGCTACATCCGCACGACGCAGCAGCAGGAGCTGGAGTTTATGCACCGGTGGCTGAACAAGGAGCTGCTGGCAGCGGCCCGCGAGACGTCGTTTGGAACACAGACCATTGGCACGTCGTCATCGTCGTCGTCGTCGGCACTCACAGCAGGCGGTGTTGGTGCTGGCGCGCGCACCAGTTTTGGCAGCAGCACCAGTGGAAGCACAGTGCGCGGTGGGCAGAGCACGAGCGAGCGGCTGCACGGATCGCAGGAGCAGTACTCCACGCTGACGGCGCTCAAGGACCTGCTCA